GATTTAATGGGGTTCAGTCATTTGCAGCCCCAAATCCGATGGGATTTAATGGGGTTCAGTCATTTGCAGCCCCAAATTCAGGGCTGAGCTGGGCAGGGTGGGAGGGATGAGCCTGGGGGGCTCTTTGGGGTCTCCCTGCCCTGCCCTGACACCCCCCCTGTCTCTGTCCCCCCCCCAGCAAATCCGTGCAGAGCAAGGTGGACTCCATCCTGGTGAGTGCTTCCCGGGAATTCCTGGGAATCTCCACCTCTCCTGGCTCCAGCTCAGCCCCATCCCATTTCCCACCGGGATGTCGGGATGAGCCCCCCAAAAAAACCCCAACTCCCCCTGCCAGGAGGGGGGAAAAAACCCCCCCAGACACCCCCCCAGCCCTTCCCGGGTGGGAGCATTCCCGGAATTCCTGTGGATCTTTAACCTCTCCCTGTCTCTCTCCCCCTGGACCCTTTTCCCACCCCAGCAAGACGTGCAGAAGTTCTCGGACAGCGACAAACTCTACCTGTACCTGCAGCTGCCCTCGGGGCCCAGCCTGGGGGAGAAGAGGTGGGTCTGGATTGTCCCGGAGAGCCGGGAATGCCGGGCTGGAGGTGGGACGGGGCCGGGCCCCCTCCTGAGTCCTCAGGGAGCAGAGATTCCTTGATTTCGGGGGGTTTTCTCCGACCCGAGTCACGAAAAACCTCCCGCCCTGGTTCGGTGACAATCCCGGCGTCTCCCGATCCTGATCCTGCTCCTGCCCTGTCCCAGGGCTGCTCCTCCCCTCGTTTGGAGTCCTTTGGGCTGGTTCTGTGGGTCCTACAAGGTTTGCTGACCCTAAAGATAAACTCTGTAGGTCCTACAAGGTTTGATGACCCTAAGGATGAACTCTGTAGGTCCTACAAGGTTTGCTGGCCCTAAAGATAAACTCTGTAGGTCCTACATGGTTTGCTGACCCTAAAGATAAACTCTGTAGGTCTTACATGATTTGCTGACCTTGATGATAAACTCAGTAGGTCCTGCATGGTTGATGATGAACTCTGTAGGTCCTACAAGGTTTACTGACCCTAATGATGAACTCTGTAGGTCCTACATGATTTGCTGACCCTAAAGATAAACTCTGTAGGTC